CTAAAGTGACCTGTGTCTGTCTTTTCCTCTTTTTTCCCCTTTCCCCACTTTCTTTTTTTTTTTTTAACAGGTTGGGAATACAGCCAAGGATTTGTGAACCAAGAGATGATCAGAGATCACCTACCCCCACCTCAAAACGATGTTCTGATCCTCATGTGTGGACCCCCTCCAATGATCCAGTATGCCTGCATTCCCAACCTGGACAAACTGGGCTACTCCAAGGACATGAGGTTCTCCTTCTAAAGACGACTGGTAATTCAGAGATCTTATGGAGAAGGGAAGGAAAAAACCATTTAACAAGGAACAGGACAAAGTTACAGAGGGGGCTGATGCACAGTGCTGGGAAGCTACATTTACCTTAAAAATGCTGCTTATTTTCTGACTCTCTGGCAAGTAAGACACACAAGCTCAGCTGTACTAAAGCTGTGCCTGGACAGGTAGTGGTGCCTCGTGCTCTGTGTGCTCCATCTCCAGGGAACACAGTGCGGCTGCTCAGGGCAGCACACACTCATTTATGCTTTTTCTTAGCTCTGTAATCAGGCAGATTAACTTCCTAACACTGTGCACACCCAGGATTTTATTTGGTATGAACTATGGAAGTAATAGAATGTGGTGGATTATTCATGTTGCTTATGCCAAATTATAATCCTTGAGGAGCTTGTACAGTATGAGGGCCAGGAGTGTTTGCCTTGTATCCATGGTCTTTGCATCATCAGTTTAAAGATGCTTGTTGAGTTGAAGGATGCCAATTAACTATTTATGACTGAAGCTGTTCAAGCTGCCTTGTTAATCAAGACAGAGAGGCAGGCAGTGATACAAAATGCGTTTCCTTTGTATTTTGGAACAGCCTCTCTTAAATGCAAACACTTTCCCAGTTCTCATCCCTGGGCACTAAAAGAAACTAAAGAAGGCAGGAGGCTTTGGGCACTGTTCCACAAATCCCTGGAATTTGTTTGCTTGTAAGTGTGTGGAATACTGAAAAAAAAATACTTTTGTATTTACTTTTAAATTGCGGGTGATGGCACAGGGGTAACAAAAGCAGTTGTTCTGTGTGTGAAAAAAATGCTGAGTGAAAACTGGATGGGATTTTTTTTGTTCATTGTTTCCCAGAGATGGATTTGGACTTAAGGGAGCTCAGGTTTCATTGCCAGGGTGGGTTTTGGCAGGTAGGCCAGCTCTGGGTGTGGAATGCATCCCATGTTGCTCAGGCAAAAGCTCCCGAGGGTTTTGCTTGGTAAGGATGCCCAGGAACAGCCTTAAGTCACCAAACTGACAGCAAATTCAAATGTCTCACTGAATCTAAAGCTGTTCCTTGGGAGTTGTTTACTATAGCTCTAGCTTTTATTTTTTAATACACTTTTTTACAGAAAAAAAAGGAAAATTTAAGGCACCTTGTGTGCCGGACCTTCTGCTCCTGAACAGCAGAGATGCTGCTGAGGTTAGAGCTGCCCTGCAGGCAGTCTAGGAAACTAAAAATCTTGTTTCTGATGATGACATCAGAGTGACTGAAAGGGAGTTTAGTCATGTCTGAAGTACTGTGGGGTGCAGTCACAGTGTCAGTGTATAATACCAATTTTTAAAGATTCAGTAGGAATTCGAGGTTATAGCTTACTGTGTTTTCTTTTGTGCCTGTACAATAGATGGGTACTGTGTATTTAAAAGGTTCATTTTTCATCAAGAATTAAAAGGAGAAGATACAGTTAATTTAAGGAACCTCAACTAGATAATGCTGTTATTAGTTTTATTAATTCAGTGTTTGCCTCAAGTCTTCAATTTTTGACTTGTGCTTCTGAAACTTGTTCTTTAATACAATGCTCCAAAGTTGAAATACTACTAAAGTTTTAAGTTTCAGTCCCTTTTATGGAAGGCAAAAAGCAGAAATAGGAGAGAAGCTGCTGGTTTGTATCATTGTGGGATATGCACAGATTTTTTTTTTTCATGTTTTCTTATTAAAAGAACCAAACCAGAACCCTCGAGCTGATGATGCATCAACTATTTTGTATTATTTACTCTGTTCATTCAACTACTGGCTTTTTTTCATGTCTGTGTAAGAAATAAAGTATCTTGCAGGTGAATCACCTGTGTGTGAGCACATCATCTTCAGCCTTGTAAGAGACAAACTGTAAAATACTATAGAATGAAGGTTCAAAAGAGAAAAAAAAAAAGATTTGTTTACTCAAGTGTTAATCTTCTTGTTTGAGCTTGGTCAAAAACTGCTGTATTTAGATACTGAATCAAGGAGTGACCTGTCTCCATTTTCCTCCCTATCACTCCAACCTCCTCTTTTTACCTTTATTTTGTACATCTTCCTTGTCAACATAAGGCTCTTTTAATAAATAAAAAGAGGGATTTTATATGATCTAATGAACCAAAACTGTGTCATAGTCCCTTTTGCTTGAGGGCCCTGTACTAAAGCCTTTAAACAAGTCAAGGATAGAAGTTGGTTTTGCGTATTTTACTTTATTTTTATTATTTTCTTTGAGCCAATTTAGTAATTAGGAGTATTCCTTCAGTTTTTTGGCAGGGGCTGCAGCAAAGTCCTGCAAGTGTGATTAACTTCTATCCAGATCATCTCTTGCAGTTAAGGCTGTTAAGCTGAGCCAACCATAGAAACAAAAGTCCTTGCAGCAGTGGAAGCAACCAAGCAACCCAACCCCTTCACTTGGCTTTTCCTGATGTTATTTATTACAGAAATTCCCGTGGGCTTTCACTGGCTGGGGGCTGCACCTTACCTGGTCCATCAGCATGTGCAGTTGCAGGAGCCCGGGCATGGCTATGAGTCACCTGAGCTGAGGCCCCAGCTTGGCTGAATGGTCAGATTTACAGGGTTACACGCTCTGTGGTGCATCTTCACCATTCTTTGCCTGTTTGCCTTGGGGGTTTAAGCTCAGGCACCTGGGCCTGGGAATTGGCCAGGGCTCTGGACCAGCTGAGTATGGCACAGCCACCCCAGCTCCCAAAATAAAACATCAAGCCTCAGGGACATCTCTGAGGTACCAGAGTCCCTTTGGAGGACATAAATCAGCAGCTGCCCAAATGTGTAACTCCCATGGTTCAAACTCTACACAGGCATTTTGATTTTCCCCTTCCCTCTCCAGTGCTTCAAAGGCATGCAAAACATCCAAAAGCCCAAGCATAGAATAGAATCATAGAATCATAGAATCGATTGGGTTGGAAAAGACCTCCGAGATCATCGAGTCCAACCCTTGGTCCAAATCCAGTCCATTTACTAGATCATGGCACTCAGTGCCACGTCCAATCTGCGTTTAAAAATCTCCAGGGATGGTGAATCCACCACCTCTCTGGGTAGCCCATTCCAATGCCTGATTACTCTCTCTGTAAAGCAGTTTTCACAGATCCAGTGTTCCTACAGAGCTGAACAGCTGAACTGACACTAATTTAACATGAAAGAAAGCTTTTCTGCAGGTTTTTTTTAACACAACAATCAATCCTGCTCCAGTACTGATTGTTCTGTTAGTTTAAACAGGAAAAAAACCCAACAGACCAATCCTGCTGAATCCTGGAGGTTCTCCCTGCACATATCCCCATAGTAGGTTGTCTGTGTAACACAGTAGAACTGTCCCCTCCATCCCACCAAACCCAGCCACACACACAAAATACAATGACACTATTGTATCTCAGCAAGTTATTCCAGGACTGAAAGGACTCCATTCTCCAGTCCCAGCTCTGTTTCTGACTCATCAAAAATTCCACAGTTCTCTGGTCTTACTTCAGTTCCCCTTTCAGCTCCTTGCCTATGCCATGGAATGCTGCAAACACTTGTGGCACTGATGCCTCAGCCTCTTTAGGCTCTTTTTTAATGGCAGTGCAAGTAACAGCCTGTGTTTCTTAGTCCTTGCAGCTACCCCCATCTTAAAATTCAAATAGGAAATAGTAAAAGATGAATGAGCTTTCAAAATTCCTTTTGTTCTGTAAATAAAGTGACTGAAATTATAAGGAAACTACAGGCAGAGGAGTTTTGCACTGACCACACTATTCAGACAGCTGTAAACAAAGTGAATTTACCAGTTTGGAAATGGATCAGGGCCTTCTTCACTGGTTAACAGGGGCTGAAAGAAAGTAATTATAACTGTACGATCCAAGAGCCTCACTTAGTCCACTAAAAGCTGAGGGAAATGGAATAAATCAAGTCCATAAACACAATCGGCTCCTAAGCCTCTGAAAACAAATTCCAAGTGAAATACTCTTGCCTCCTCCAGATTTTTGATCTCTGCTTGAGTGGTCAGGAGCTGCCTCTGAAAAGTAAAGACTCCCATCCACCTCAGGCCTGGTTTTTGTCCGCACTGCTTGTTTTTTTCCAAGTTTCCCTTAACACCTGCCCCTGCCTTTTGCCACACCTTGCCCTGCCACAGCCACTCAGTGAGAAAACACTTTGCAGCTGGGCCCAGCCCTGCTTTTTGCTCACAGCTCTAAGGCCCTCCAGAGCTTGGCACCAATTAGGGGCAGGTAATTAACAGGTTTCTCACAGAGCCAATTTCTAGTGCTGGAAGGGGCTTTTCCTTTTAGTTGGGAACCAGCTGCCTCCTCCTAGCCAGCGTTTTTGAGCCCTGGTATCGTCCTTCACACTCAGTGCTACACTTTGGCCAGCACCAGAACATTTTCTTTAGTACAGACTCACCCTCCTAGTACAGAAAAAAATTTGCCACACAGCAAACAAAGGCTATGAGTCAAATCTACCAGGACCTCCCTAAGGATCTGGCTGATAAACCTTTCACCAGCTCCAGCCAAGACTCAATGTCTGGTGAACAAAATGTTCTGGAAAAACAACATGCCTTCTATAAACATTTTTTTTTCTGGCAGGCCTGTCCTGTTGCTTTAAAACCTGGAGAGACTGAGTCAGCTTGGTTCCTGCAGGAGCTCAGGGAATGCGACGGGTCGGGGGGGAAGGTGGGGAAGAAGGAGGTAGGGGGAATGGCGTGTGAGGAGAAAAGAGAGGGAGGCAGAGCTGAGCCTCACACAGCCTGTGCTGCCTCTGCTGTTTACACAAAGTTTGTGTACACGTTGCCCACCTCCCTCAGCCCACTGTTTGTGCCCAGGCAGTTTTCCAGCATGTCCTTCGTGGGCAGGGTGCTATCAGTGCCGGTCACAAATTGCCGCAGCGCGTTCCTGCCCGACAGGCGGCATTTCTGCTCCTCCCTGGCAATACTGTCCAGCAGGACTCCTCGGATGTCCTTGGGCTTCCCTGGCACGCCGAAAGCGACGAACAAGCCCAGGCAGTCCTGCCCCACCAGGCGGCAGAACTCTGCCAGCTTCCCGAACCAGCTCATGTTTTGGAAGCACTCGTCTGCCAGCGCGGCTTCCCGGCAGCAATCCTCCTCCTCCTCCTCCTCCGCGGGGCCGCACAGAAAAGCTCTGCCAGCTGCAGAGCGTGCACGGCGATCTGAAGCTTGATCTGCTTGTCAGCTCCAGACAGAGTCCAGATCCAGTCCACCCCGAAGAGGCAGGACTGCTGCCTGGTCATTTTGCTGGTCACAATGAGCTCCTCTGCTCCCTTCTCCATGCAGAAGCTGATGAAGTTGACCAAAAAGATCTCACTCAGCGTGTTTGTGGCTGGCTGGAATTTGCTCTGAGGATCCACAAAACCAAGATAGTCCTTCAGCCTCTGAGAAGCGTGGAGCACACCCTGGCTGAAGACGTCGCAGATGAGCAGAGTTTCAGCCTTGTCCTCCTGGCTGTCCTCCTGGGAGGCCTTCTGGCCCATTTTCTGTGCCAGAGAAGGTCGTTTCCACATGCAGACAGCCTTGTGGAAGTCCCTTCCTTTTCCAACAAAGGTTCTGCAGGTGCTGGGCTCAGCCAGACCTGTTTATCATGCACATGGGTACCTGCTGCTTTCCAGGTGACAGTGGTAGCAGCGGCAGAGCTGAGCTCTGTGAGCCCACGGGGCAAACAGGCTTTCTCCTGGGTGTGTTTCTCCACAGCTGACTGAGCACCAACCAGCCCAACAGGCCCAGTAACTTTCACACCTACTGAATTCACCTGTGCTTGTTTTCCTTATTGTTAATTCTGGCACCATTCCAGCTGATGTTATCTCCCTCCAGTCTGATCTTATCTCCTTTGATCTCCTTTCTAGGACTATTACAGAGAAGCCACTTTATTGGCACTACTGGGTGTTTCCTTGAGATGAAACAACCTTTTTCTTTTAAGCACCTAGAGAAGGGGATGCATCCAACCCTGAAGACTGCTACAGGGTACTTGAAATGATGTGATCATTTTTGATGGGATGTTGCCTGTATCCCAGGATTACCTGCTGCTCCTGTCAGTAGTCCATGGCAATGTACACAGACTCAGCTGGACTTCTGGCCCAACTGAGAAGCTCCTGCTGTTCCTGCCTGTAACTGGATTATCTCAAGGAAGCTCAGTCAGTCAATGCACCCCCATGCACAAGTATCAAATACAGCTACAAATAAAAAGCTCTTGCTGCAAATGAAAACCCCAAAGTGCTGAGGTGAAGCATAAATCTGCACTGAACAGTCATAACAACAAAGCAGTGCAAGGTATAAAAAGCATTCAGGTAGGGCAAGTGCAACTTCTCTCCTAAAGCCAGGATGTAGGCTTTAGGAGATTCCCATCCACCTTGTGGATGGGAATCAGAAGAGTTTTTCTGGATTAGTTCTCCATTCCTAAGTGTAATATGTACTTTAAGCTAACAGAAAAAAGCTGGGTTTAATCTCCATAGGCTCTTAACTGAAAAATATCTGTCTTTCCCTCTACCCTGCAAACAAACAGATAGAAGCTTATTATACTCTAAGTTTCAAAGTGTTTATATTCAGTGTTCCCACTGAAACACTGAACTGATGAACAAAACCATGGCAGTGACGGTCATGAGACCAGGGTTCTGCATTTTCCGGCCCATTATCCAGGCTCCACTGAGCAAAGCAACTGACCATCATTTATACCTGCACCACAGCAACAAAATGGAGTTTGGAGAAGCTCAGCTCCTGTTAGCAAAGCAGCCAGAGCTCCTGACTGCTGAGGGGAACAACACCTGGAACCACAGAGACACTTTTTTTACAGCAAGAACGGCCAGAGGACACCGAGCAATGGTGAAGCCCTTCTCATCACACCATACCAAACAACCTAAGATGGTTCAAATCTGGATCCCAGAAGTAACTAAAACATCTTGGGATAGTTGATTTCTTGGCTGTTAGCTGAGCTCTTCTACAGGCATTACTGACAAACTAATGAGTCAACAAAAAATGTGTGATTTTGCCCCTTTTCCCTCCGTCAGTTTTTAAATAGAACAAAACAAGCTTCCTAGGAAAATTTAAAGGGAAAAAAGAGAACCAGCTTTCAGAAACACTTGGCATTTTCCACAGATTTTATTGGATTTCACATGGCAATACACAGCAGTTATGTTGCCCTTTTCAAACACAAATGAAAACACCCTGATGGTATCAAGGGTGCACACACGAAAACTTCCTGACTTTATCACTTGCTCTCATATTCCCACCCCATAAAACAACCCAGGTTCAGATGATAGGCAGCTCCAAGGGGATGACCTGGCTGACAGCTGGCAAGTGCAGGAAAGGGTTGTTTGGAGCAGAATTCTGCTTACACTGGACTTAAATAAACCATCCCTGCGGTCACTGATAACACTGGACTGAAGAGACATTGGAGAGTATATTTGTGCCTAGTTCCACACACAGTATTGTGTCACTAGGTCCCCTTTTTTCCCCCCTATGGATATCCAGTCCTGTTCACCAGCCAGCAATTTGGAGGAATTTTGCCTGGAAGCCTTCACCACATTCTCCCAGTGCTTCCACAGGGTTTTATGCTCAACTTCCATGTAAATAATAACAATTTTGCAGAGTATTCACAGGAAGTGAGGCCTGAATCCACATCCCAACCATCTGCATGTTACACAGTGTGGTATTTCTGCCCAAATAAAACAGCTCAAACACCCCCAAGACTGCAGAGGAAGAAATAACAGCAAATTATTCGTGCACAGGAATCAGTCAGGAATGTTGACTAAAGCATCAGTTGTGATCTGTTTGTAGATAAAGGGTAAGCAGCAAAAAGTATTTTATGGAGACTTTACGGATTGTTTGCCTGGCTCCAGTTACCGAAAATGGCAGTGTACATTATGTACGATGCAACCTGTCCACATCAGATTTTTCATCTTGATACATCAATAATCAAAATTTTTCATCCTGGAACATCAACAATCACCTCCCCTGCACATCCTTCAAAGATCCAGGTCATCAGGTCACAAGAATATAATGCCAGAATATGTCTCTGATCTACCCCAGCATCTGGTGGGAGTTCCCTGGAAGCCCCAGAAAGAACCTTTCTTCCTTTCCCAGCTTTGTTTTATGAACATCCTCACAGTCAGCACAAACCTAAAATCCCTTGCTCCACACCAGGAACAGTCTCACTTCCAGCACAGAGAGCAACAAAACGAGTGACAAACACTTGGAAAAGCAACACACCACTGCAAGGAACATTTCCAGCTGGACTTTTTTTTAGACTTTTTTTTTTTTTTCCCTTTACAAAGCAAAGCAGCTTCATGCCATTGTGCCACAACACATGCAACGTTCAACACCATACAAACAACCACTGTAATAAAAAGTTACTTGGGTTTTCTTTTTGTTTGCTCACAATACCCAAAGTCTGACATGAGATTTCCACTGGCTAGTTCGGAACTTTAAAACCTGATTATCCTCAAAAGCAGCGGAGGTGTGCTTTAATGATGAGGAACATGTTTGATATTTGAATTTTGGAGGAAAAGTCCCATCTTAGGTTTAATAATATGAAATAATATATTTCCTATACATTTCTCTATATAACTTTATTATTTTGTTTTTTTTGCAACTACACCATCTTCACGTTAGTTATAGCACAGAAACATCCCTTCCATATGCAGGGAGTGCTCTCAACTTCACTGGATTTTTTTAAGTCACAGAAGTGTTAACAACCTTGTTGAATGTTCTAACTACTGCTGCTGGGACCAAGAGAGAAGACATTTTAAAATGTGCAGTTTTCGTACAGGTCACTGCTAGAAAAAATGTGCTTTAGAATTGTTTCATCCCAAATGGAAGATCATTAGACTGTGCACTTAGTAAAAAGCAATGAAAGCAAACAGTTCCAAAGGTCAGCCTGCCTTTTCCAGTAACCAGCTGGTCTGCAAACTGGCATAATTTTTTTACAACCTTCTCCCCTTTCCCCACACACCTTCAACTTTCCATCACTCTATCTCACAACAAAATTTAAATTTTTGCTTTTATATGTACTTCATATACTTCTTTTTTTTTTTTTTTTTTTTTATAAAACAGTATAAAAATAAGAGCAACAGTCAAGAGCTACTGGGCAGCTTATGCAGGGCACAGATGACTAAAATCCTACACTGGATACTGTAGGAAGGGCAGAACTGGTATCTGTGCCAAACAAAAGCACTTGAAAAGGAGCAGTAACTTCTATTTTTCAGCTGAGAGCCTAGAGAAAGCTGATGCACGATATCTACAGACTCAGTATTTTACCTAACACCTTCTGTTACTTTCAAACAGTATAAAGGATTATCTGAGACCATGAATAAGCAAAAAAGAGCACTGTCATACCACATAAATTTAAATGCAACACTCTGAAACATATCACCAGTTTGTACATTAAATAGAGTTAAAATGATTACCATTCACCAGGGTCTGGGTGGCTTTTATGGCAACTTTAGAGTAGGCACCTTTTTTTTTTTTAAATCTTCTTTTCTCTTTAAAATTCTCCACCCCACAGTGTTCCTTCGAACAAACAGAAGCAAGAGCAATTGTAATGTACATTATCTGCTGCCCATCACATCAAATGATGATGCTCCTGCACACAGGAAAGTGAGCCTTTGCCGGTGCCTGGTGGTTACCATCAAACATTGGAGTCCTCATCTGTTACACTGGTGCTGGGAGAGCGGGTCGCAAAGTCTTTAAACATTTCATCTTCTTTCAACATGTGCTGGAAAGGAAACGAGGGAACAGTGAAGGTTGACCCTATTTATGTCTGCCAAGGGGTTTATATCTATCTTGGAGAAACAGATCTTACTCCACAGACCCCTAGACAGCACTTTTAAGCCTTACTGTCAAGTTGTTGATGCCTTCAGAAAACGCTCCTATTTGCCTCACCGTCCCTTCTGAATCTTCCATCTATAAAAACAATGAATCAATAATAAATTAGCTGTGTCATAGTCATAGAATGGTTTGCATTGGAAGGGACCTTAAAGACCATCCAGTTCCAACCCCCTGCCAGAGGCAGGGACACCTTCCACTATCCCAGGTTGCTCAGAGCCCCATCCAACCTGGCCTTGAACAATTCCAGGGATGGGGCAGCTTCTCTGGGCAACCTGTGCCAGGGCCTTTCCACCCTCACAATAAAGAATTTCTCCCTAATATCCAATCTAAACCTCCTCTCTTTCAGTTTGAAGCCATTCCCCCTTGTCCTGCCACGGCAGGGACTCCAAACTGCCAGAACTGGCTTACCTGCTCCAGCCTGTCCAAATCATCATCGTCATATACTCGGATATCCAAGCCAGGCTTAAAGCCCTTCTTTGATCCACTCCCAGATGCCTGCCCCAGCTCCATGGGACACACATACTCTTCCCCATCATCTTGCTTCTTCTTTCTCAGGTTCCCAAAATTGCTGAAGGTAAGTTTCTTTGGCTTAAAAGTGAAGAGAAATTTGACACTAAGTTAGAGAATCAGCTAATAATTAACAGATCTCCTACTCTTGCACTGATGTTTCAATGATGAAGGGCCAAAACCCCACTTGTCTCCTAA